CGAACTATCTATCGTCAAGACAAAAATGACCTATATAAAATATATGCTTGATATTTTAATGGAAATATTCAATATTAAAAAAAAGTAGAAAGACATATGCTGAATGTTGTCATTGCAAACGGCGTTTGTCAAGATATAAACAGAAAATCTAATTAGAATATCTACAAAAAAAAAATTAAGATCATGACTCTTTCGCACGTTTTTACTATCAGAACTCCTACGAATATGAATATTAAATCAATAATATCCTTTGTTTGATGAATATTCAAATGAAAAATTTTCTTTCATTTTTTGTTCAAACTACAAAGAAATTTTCATCAAATTTTTGATTTGCTTCAATCAATAATAAAAATTTAGTTTAATGCGTTGTTTACACGAATAATTTATTTTCAAAAGAATAATGATGTGCCACAAAAATTTGTGTTTATTACGCTACTCGTTGACAGTGATGAGCAATTGAACTTGAAAATGTTATGAAAATATGTTTATAATAAATAAAAATTGAAAATATAAAATACTTCATGTTCAAGTTAATTATTATTGATTGTTGATCAATAGATGGAATATCTTGCGGAAAATGAAAATGTCCTGTTGAATATACCATTGAGGTTTTATTTCTCTTAATTGACTTCAATGGTTGCTATAATAAATTAATTTCTACAAATTAATTTTTATTTTCATTACAATGAATATGATTCTTTTGATTTTAGACCATCATGTGTGAGGCGCTTGATGACAATACACTCATACATCAGTACTATATAATAACAATCAAAAAAATCAAAAACTAACTACGAAACCAACAATAAACAAACACTGAACTATATGGCAATAAGACATGAAATACAAACAAGAAAAATCACAAGTTCAATTTTAGCGTGCAGTACACGTCATCATTTGTTTAGTTTCCTAGTTTTGTTAATTTAAACGCTTGATTCTCTTGGATGAACGTCCTTTAGAATTACCTAAAAATGGAAGTTCTTATCAAACAATCATCATAAGACATTTGTTGACACTTACGTTGAATGAGCTTGTCCACTTTTGCTTCACTTATGCAATTCAATAGATAAATAGCTTCATCAATGTTGTTCACAACTAAAAAACAAGCACTTTTAAGTATATCTATCATGTTGAAAATAGAGACTTACTTTCTACATTGAGACTTTTCAAAATCGAACTACGAATTTCTCCTGTGTGACAATGAATGCTGCATATCCTGTCAAAAAGTATATATACATAATTGTGTATAAACAAGACAATAGAATGATATACCATTTTATCATTAATAATGATTCATCTATGTAGCCATATCGATCTAAGATTTCAATGTCATGCAAAGCATCTAAAATAATAGAATGAATTTGGAACAAATCTAAATGATTTTAACTAACCCTTGTATCTATGTTCTTCATAATAAATCAAGCATCGCTTTTTGTGATGTTCAATTAATTCATCTACGTTTGTAGCATGATCAATCAAGTCATTAAGTAACTAAAAAAGTAAACCAAATCTATTTTCCATGATTTCAAATATAAATTCTTACCCGAATTTTATCGTTTGAGTCAGATTGAATAGCTTCGAGCATTGAGTTTTCTTTATTTTGAATCGAACACATATTTTGTGTTTCGATTTGTTCGCTTTTTACGTATTCAATGGTCAAAGAATGTTCTTTGACTTGTCGAGTACGTTTCATTTCTGAATAAATCTTAATGTAATATGAATAAGAAGAATGTTTACCGACAACTGAGAATATTGTTTGTCTTTTTATTCTAAACGTGACAATTTCTTCTTTATATAGTTGCGTTTAGTATGTCACCACAATAGACAAAAGCACACGTTCAAGCCAATAAATATTAAATGTACAACTTGTAGTGTCCTCTATTATTAAATTTCTCGACATTGATAGTGATCCGTCGGCTGGTGAATGATGATTCACTACTCATTTCTAAAAACCGTAGGATATAATACATCTATACACTAAGCAATACACACTCGTTTTGAAAAATAATTCGAATTTTAATATACAGCATTTATGCTCTTATTATCAAAAGAAAATATAGATAGTGCGCGTGGGGTGGGTGTGAGTGTGGGAGCGGGAGAATACTACGATTACACCCACACCCCGCCCACCCTTCCACACCCTATTCACCATCTCTTCAATTGTCTTTAACAATTGAGAAAGCTACAGCAATATGATTGACAAGGACATTGAGTTCCTCGTTTCATTGATGAAAAGGAAATAGTTTAAGAAAGATATAATTAAGAAATTTCTTTTTTTTTTGAATTTTTACAACTTTCAAACATGTTGAAGGTAGAAAATATCTTTAAAAAAATACTGCTACTAATTATTGATTTCTTTTATAGTTTAAGATTCATCAATACTTATATTAGTCGTAGTGCATGATACTTTTTGGCGATTTCTTAGTTGATTGTAAGAAAAGAACTGGCGATTCTTTTAAATTTGTTGTCTTATTGTTTTTTCATTCATTCTTCTTTTTTACGTTTAAAAAAATCAGCATAATTAGGTTATTTGGCAGCATCAATATCCATGCTAAAATTACATCTTGAATATCGTAATTTGTAAGATTTGATTGTTTAGCATTTTTCTGCGAGTTATCAGAGCAGGGAACACAATGATCAACTTTACTCTATTTAAGTCGTACCGATAATAGGTAATTAATATATCATTTGTGCATAAATGAGATATATAGAAGATTGACAGGTATCTTACAGAAGGTCTCACGAAAAAAGATAAAAGAAATATGTAAAAACGATGGGACATGTTTCGTTTTGTTGTATTGCATCTTGTTCCAAAGCGATGAAGACGAAATTCGGTAGTTTTAAAAGACATATAAACTAATCTTTTTGAACTCAAAAGTAAATTATTGTAAAGGGGCAACAGAGGACAATGTGAATGTCTTTGCTTTATATCAAATGGAAAAATTGTTTTTAAGTATACACATTATCTTAACAATTTAAAGTAAAAAGAATACTCATTAACATAGATCCAATTGCTATTATACGATTCAAAAATGCAAAAGAATGAATATATAATTTTTAACCGTTATACACAAAATCCTTTGGTACTTCCACTAATTAGTGGCTTTGAAGTTAGGATAAATTGAAATCTTCTTCCCTGGTTGGTGTGTATTTCCTAACCCAGCGAAAAATATTTCAAAAAAATACCAGAAGAGAACGGGTTCGTCAGATTAGAGAAAGGTTTCTTATCCATGAAGATCATGTTCCATAATTTACTGAATGTGCTCATAATCCAGTCTATGTGTTTAATGGTTTTTCTGGTTGATAGAGCATATCAGACTGCAGAGAATAACAGAGTCCTTTTTCTTGAAGCCTTACTTTTTTTTTGATAAACTAATATCACAAGTTCAACGACTCAAAAAACTCTGCAAAAACTTTGATTTTTTTAGACATTTTCGTAGAGTTTTTTGAATCGTTGAACTTGTGATATCGGTTTTTCATAAAAAAAAAGTATGATTTCAAGAAAAAGGACTTTGTTATTCTCTGCAGTCTGATATGCTCTATCAAGCAGAAAAACAATTAAACACATAGACTGAAATCTGACAGAGAAATTTGGGAGACAAAAATAGGTATTTTTTACTGTTGTTTGATCAGTATCTTCAGAAAGCCTCTTGGGATCAAGCTCAAAATTTTACCATGGTATCCTCACTAGAGCTCTAACATATTCTGAAAATTTCATGTGGTTTGCATATTCTATGAAAAAGTTATTTTTCGGGTGGAGGGGGAGGCCTTAAGAAAGGAAAACGCTTTAGAAACTGGGACATGGGTTCTTCGTTGTTCTCAACTGAACTGGTTAAGAACCCGTTCTGAAAAAGTAAGAAACTTTTTTAAGAAAAAAAACAGTGATTCTAAAAAAAGGAATCCGTTCTCCACCGTTTCATTTTGGAACGCGTTCTTAACTGGTTGTTTTTGGAATATTTTTCACTGGGTATTTCGTAATGTTAAACATTGTACAATAGGACGACTGTTCAATATTGACGATCTGAGATATTCGTATCGTACATATTCCATCTGAAAAAGTGACTCAGGTGTTATTCATGATAAACTTTTAATGGAAAAATACGTTATGCCCTTTTAAAATAAGAACGATATTGGGAAGTACAACTATGACTCGTATTGTCTGCTGTTTCTTCCTGTAATTTATTAAATATCTATTTACTAGCATTGTTGTGACAATTATGTAAGTTAGCAGTGGATTGAAATTTTACGTCAAATATTCATCTATCGATTTAGATGAACAAGATAATGCTCTGTTAAGAATCGAATCGACAATGCTATCGATTAGACATATTTTTAGCATCTTCTCATTAATAGACGACCTTGTAAAAGCTCCAAAACGCGTTTTTCTAAACTACGTAGTATGTTGGTCTAACATTCGTTCAAAACGTGTATTAACTCTGAAACCGAATGTGAAACATAAAGCTCAATGAGATCTATCGATTAATATCAATGTCAGATTCATCTATCATCATCTAGACCTTAAAGGTAGTCAAAATGGAATACCTATAGCTATTACTATGCTTCTAATGTCATTATATTCATGCTAAAATCTGTGATATGCATTGTTATTCATCATCAACAGATAAGGTATTCTTTTCATCCTTAGTGAAGATGCTCGAGAATGAAGATAATTGTTGTGAATATGAAAGTTGATGATAAGCATAGAGACAATGACAAAATATTTTTGTGAGGTTAGTAAGTAAACAATTACCTTGTAGTTTCTTATCATCATACCATTTTTTCTCTTCCATACCTGTTCGTTTCTTATCATAAACATACACAATCTCAAAAGCAAACCTCTCTAGTCTTGTGTTACTGACATAACCAAACATAATGAAAAATTATTTATCTGTTTAGACAACAACTAAGGTACACTTTAACATTAATAATTTTGGTTTCTCATATAAAAGCATGTTTATGTGATTTTCTTCATTTCATTCTTCAAGTAGCTTACAATAAAAATGAATGTGTTTAATCGAATATTACTTATTTATTCTGTAATACAGATTTTGAAATCTGATCCAATAAATCGTAATATAATAATTGATGGTAATTTTGATGACTGGTTAGATGTTCGATCATATACTGATCCAGTGGATAATATAAATGGTACAGTTTATCAAGAAAGTCCATGGTTTCCTTCATTAAAAATTCCAGATTGTCATGATACAGATTCTAAGAAACAAACTGATATACCAAAACATATTTATAATCCAAATGTAAACATAGTTGAATTTAAAATAGCTCACGATGATTCATCATTCTACATATATTATCGTGTGGTTGATGATGGAGTCATTGGTAAGACTTCAGTTGGATCGGATCCATTTAACCCGAGTGATCCATCAACACCCTCAGCTGGAAGGTTTTATATAAAAACAATAATTAATCTTGATATGAATGATACAACAGGTATTTGGTTAAATGAAGATGGTTTTTATCCAACTGCACCAGGATTTGATGGAAGATTTAGAATTGAATTTTACAATGGTACATACAATCAAGGTTCCTATGCTGATCATGGAACTAATAATAGTAATGAAACAAGTTATGTGAAAGAAGAAAATAAACAAAATAAGTTTCTAATTCGTCCTGCTGCTCAAGCTTATTCGACTGTATATATTTATTGGAGTCAGAAGCCAACTCTAGATGAAATCAAAAGATGTTTAGATGGACCATATGCGTTACCTACTCCATATGATAATCATTATGTTTGTTTTTCTAAAGATTGTGCACCTGGGCCATTCAATGGTATTGTAACTTACGCGCGGAGTAGTAAAGGCAACGAATTGGAAATGCGAGCTCCATTTTTAGGATTTTTATTAAACAAAGATACAGGCTTGTCAACTTTACAATTGGGAATGACAGTAAATATATCGTTATCGTTAGAGACAACTCCAGAATATTCAACACCACAAGAATGGGTCTCGGATACAACAGCAACAATTCAATATACATTATCAGAAAGATAGATGATGATGCACAATATCTTTGAGATTCGTAATGATAAGTTTTTTACTGCTACCTTACCCTATTGTCCGTTTCTTACTATTCTGTTGCAAAAAAAAAATTATTAATTGCAAAAAGATTCATTAACAAATTGATTGATCTGAATGAAACAGATTTTGGTCTTGATATTCAATATGTAAGAGGGAAAATGGATGAGACAATTACCCGGATTTAGCAGTGGTTTTGGGTGGTTTTTTTCCTAATAGTACAAGAAGACAGGCCTCTTCTTTATATTGGAGAAGGGATCAATAAAGGATTTTTCTCACTTTCATCCTTTTCTTGCTCGTGAATAGACGCACAAGCGTTGTGTTTATCTCTAGAGAGACCCTTTGTTAACTATATTGGTTTTTTCTCATCTGTGAAAAAGTATAATTTTTTTACTGTGATAGATAATGATACTTGACAAAGGATCTCTCTAGGCATGTCTTAATGGATATAAAGCTTGAACATGTCTCTATCATTGATAAGAAAACCAATTCGTTTACTCGAGTTGTAATAGAGATATTCGATTGTTTCTCGCGTGCATGACTTTTGGGCCACCCTGTATATTGTAGATCAAACGCTAACTAATAATTCTAAACGAATACTTGATTTTCAATCGAAATACAAAATCAGTCCTTCAGATGTGTATTTGAATCGTCGAAAAATAAAAAAACATAATTAGCATGAATGAGAATAATAATGGTACTTTATTACTGGAAGAATTACTTCCTAAACGAATTTCTTCACTGGAGTCAAGGAAAAACAGTCTCGATTGTCAGTATATCTGATCAAGGAAGTATTTCGGATAACACTGACTAGTCGCGGATGGTATGGGTGTGGATGTGGATGAATGAAGAGAAGATCCATTTTCAAACTTCACATCCACATCCACACCCTATTTTCTAAAAGATGAATGAGTTAAAGTATTGAAAGAATACAGTTGCTTTTCTGTAATGATTTTTACAAAATATTATCAGAAACTACGATGTCTAATCCTGAACTTTTGCTTTTTCAATTATTTCAAAAAAAATTGATCATATGAAAAAGGTAACCAACCCGAGTTTCGTTTATGATTTCTTACAGATATTTAATGAACACATGCATCCTTCACTTAAGGTGAGAGTGCCACGAACATCTTATTGAAGGTGCTACGAAAATCTTTATCACATACACTTTAGCACATATCTTTCTGCTGAGAGTGCTCGGAAATCGTAATTACACATGAAAAACAGATTGCTTTCCGGATGAACTAGACCATATTTAGATGAAAATCTTCGGATTTCTAACTTGCGATTCATGCAACGAGAAATCTGTTTTTCATGTGGAATCACGAATTCCGAGCACCCTCAGCAGAGAGATATGAGCTGATGTGTGCTGTAAAACTTTTCGTGGCACTCTCACCCTCAGGACAAGACGCGTTCGTATATGTGTATTTATGCGAAATCTCGAAAAAATGTTCGAAAAATGTCTTCCGAAAGACCAAAACCGTTTCAAAATAGGTTTTAGTAATCGGAGAACATTCGTGAAGAATTGTTTCAACTTGGAGAAAAAACTCTGTAAGGAAATATCGTTTGAATTGATAGTTTTTACTTGAATTTTTCGACATTTTGTATCAATTCAGACACACATACACGCGTCCTTCCATGAAGGTGAGGGTGCCACGGAAATCCTTATTGTACACACATCGCACATATCTCTCTGCTAAGAATGCTCAGAAATCGTGATCCCGCATGAGAAACACATTTCTGACTGAATAAACTTGACCAGATTTGGATGAAAATCTTCGAATTACTCATTTATGATTCATGTAGTACGGAATGTGTTTTTCATGTGAAATTACGCTTTCGGAACACCCTCAGCAGAGGCATATGTGTTGATGTGTGTAATAAAGATTTCCATGGCACCCTCACTGAGAGAGAGGTGTGTGTATATGTATAGTGATGCGAAATCTTGAAAATCCCAGCCAAAAATATCCATTCAAACGATTTTATCTTACAGAAATTTTCTTTTCTGCAAATTGAAACAATTCTTCAGAATGTGTTCTCAAATTGTTACTAGAACAGCAGCCACGGTCGGTTTCGACCTTGCTAAAGGATCTCATCAGGTGGCATTATTCTAAATTCCATTACAACCTAAGTCATGACAGAAAACCGATGTTCAACTCCTAGTTTGAAAACTAGAAGAGAGCCGGTATTAACTGTATTGGTCATAATTATAAGAACTAGCAACGATGCCACCTGATGAGATCCTTCAGCAAGGTCGAAACCGGTCGTGGCTGCTTCACATTGAGAATATGGATTATTTTATGGTCACCATTCGCAATCAGTTTCATCAGTATCATTGAATATTGTCGTCAATAAGAGATAATTTTCACTATCACAAAAAGTCCAATCGGTACGTGATTGATTAAAATACTTCATAGATTGTCAGACCATTCATCCTCTCCATTTGGACAATCATGTTTTCCATCATTAATAGTAATCATCGATAACATTGATTTCGATTTGATGGACAAATAAATCGAGTTGAACCATTTAATTGACAAGCAGAAAATAATTCATCTTCATTATAATAACAATCATTGTAACCATCAATGAGTCGATCTTTTGAAATACATTTCAATGAAGATGAACTGTGAAATAATGATGGATCTGAACATGTTTTCTCTGTGCCAATTGTTGAACATCGTTGAATAAGATCTTCGAAAATTGCATTCCAATCTTATCAAAAAAGTGATATTCAGTTGATTAAACTTGGGCGTGGACAACAATGAAGTCCATTTTGCATTCCAATATCTAATGAACAAGATACTAAACTAGAACATCGACTTGCATTCAAACAAATGAAATTAGGTAGGACATTTTTCTTGTAATCAGGAAATAATCGATTCGTTAAATAAACGAATTGAAAAAAGCCAAATAGAAGAGGATATTCAGGTGACACCACGCATTTTGACGAACAATTGGTGATAAGAGATTCATAACTAGTATTATCGAATTCTTTGTCTATAAAGAAAAAATCGTTAGAATGACGAAGTAAATAGTGCAATGCCTGTTGACCATATGAGTTTAAAATGTGATCTGCCGAAGACATCATCTGAACAAACGTTTGTACCGTTTGATAAAAGGAAGAAAATACTTTTTTCGAATCAACATCCGTGACAACAAACACAGGTTCCTTTTTTAGATCACATAAATAAGTAAAAGAACGTCGTCCAGTACACTCTTTGCATTGAAATATTGAGTTTCAATAGCAATGATAGTCAATTGAATCTCTATGATATTGTCGGGAACTTAATTCGTCTGTATCATCAAGATAATCAGAATTCATCTTTCCATCTCCAACAAATGCTAATGGAATACATTGTCCACCAAAATGACATCGAAATTCATTGTTCAAGCATTGATTCATTTCCAACAATTCACAAAATTGTTCATCTTCTCCATTGAGACAATCAAAATCTCCACCACAAATCTCTCTCCAATCAAGACATACAGGTGAGGGTGCGGGTGTGAGGGTGTGGGTGTGGGTGTATGGGGGTGATTGTGGACGTGTGTGAGTGTAGGTGTGGATGATAAACCTTTCACACCCACACCCACAACCACCCACACCCTGGAATGTTGATACTGAGATCTTGTTGGATGGTCGAAAGATTCAATGGGACTTTTTTTGATATAAGAGTTTGTGATTTTTCTATTTGACTCTCGTTTTTGACTACTATTATTGAAATACTCCTACGACCATGTTTTTTTTATTATTTTTGTCATCTTCTTATTATGCGACCAAGTTAGTTAGATAGCAAAGAAAAAAATAAATTGCACCATTATCAAGTCACATATAGTACTTTTGTTTTCATCGTTCTGTTCTTCCCAAATATTCTATGTTGACAATTGCTTGTGCAATATCATCGTCAACTATATAAAGCCGTGTTTTGACAGCCTTTTTCTGCATTTCAATTTTGATCATCAACCCGCGTGTCGTGCAACAAAAGCACACACCCGGCGGCTTAACAACCAACTCGATGGCAGATTGGAAACGTGTGCTTTCGCTAGTGGAAGATTTGCTTATGCATTAACAATATTCGTACTCCGAATTGACTCGAACTTTTTATGTTTGAGTTAGAAATCCGGCTTCCGGTGTGCTCCGACCACAACGAAACCCTGCTATCATCGCTTAATATCGACGCTTTGGGTTGGTCGGACATGTCGAAGGCTACTGATATTGAGATTATATTTGTTTGTGTTGATTATATTGAATTACACAACAACATATGAAATCTCATTGGTGTATCTTCGATATTTTCGATATATGCCTACGAAGCCGAGTATCGAAGAGACGAATATTATCGTCCGTAAGTCAAATCTATGACATTTTCTGAGAGCACATATTTTTAATCTATACGTGAAAGATATAAAAATTATGAAATATTAGATAACAGTAAGTATTTTCAGCTTTATTTTACATGTAAGTAAAAGCTTACAATATTATGCATAAATTTGATTTATAAATTGCTAAAAATGGAAAAATGCTCAATAGATTATTTCTTTTTTAACAATTAATATTTTTATGCTAATAATAAATTTCTATGAATTAAATCTTCATCTAGATATCTGTTCAACATCGAAATATCTTTTTATTTAATTATATTGTATTTTATTTTTATTGAAATATTTCAATAAATAAATTTATTCTAATCATTAAATTGTTTATTATGAATAAAATCATGACTCTAAAAATCTTTACTTTTGTCTCCATTATCAAAGACTTCCTACTTGGTTATATTTGATAGTTTATTTTATATCGATTTTTTTAAATAATAATCAGTTTGCATTTCATTTAAATACGCTACAGATGAAGAAAAAAACCGCATATGACAAAGTTTTTGATTTCTTAATAGTTGAAGCTATGGAACAATCCATTTGCTATTATTGAGTTATAGTTTAATAGCTGTCCTAACAAAACAATAGACAAAAGATATGAAATTATATCATGATTGTTATTATTAATTATTCAGCTTTTAATCATTTAGAAACTTTTTACAACAATATTCTATTACATTCTTTTATCAAAAAATTTCTTCTTCCATGTGCAAAGAAATCAAACAAACTCACTAAAATAACTGATGGATCTTTATGAATCGGACTAATTATTAACGCAATTTTTCAATCATTTACGTTCCATATAAAATATTCATTTATATAGCACCCACACCCTTTCTAAGTCTTTGCTTCGCATACGGCCGGATCCCTTTTAGTTTGGCAACATAGACTTTCTTTTACGTATACTAAGAAGAAACTGCTGAAATTAATTAAAAAATAAAAATTTCAGAAGAGAAAAACAAACAATTTGTATGATGACTCATAATTATTTCACTACAACGTGGTAAGAATGTTTTTTGTTGGGTTCTTATGAGTGTCTATCGTTTCACTTCTCCGTACAGGTAAATGGCAAAAGGTGTTACATCATAAACAGGTAATAACGTCATTCTGATTATTTTTTGTTGACACTGAATTCGTCAACATGGATTTTTCCTACTTGCTTTTATGTACTTCTTTTTTTTGTAGCGAAGAAAAACTTCATTCCATTGATTCGACGAAACTTGAATTACTATTAGCATCCATTACAATGACATGTTTTGACGATTTGAACAGGGACGTACTGTTTGAAATATTTGATTATTTATCATTTGATGAAATGCTTCATGCATTTTACGGTCTACAACGACGTATCGATGTTTGGATTCAAACCTATCCTGCATCTATCGTTTTATCTGATGACTTCAATATTAATCAAATAATTGATGGTTTATTTTTATGCCGATCACTCGAATTGTACAGTTTCAAGCCAGAAAAAATTCAATTAGTATATTCATGCTTGAATTTCGAGGCAATTAGAGCTATTGAATTTCATTATGTTAGTACTGAAACATTGAAGGAACTTTTCGAGACTTTGCCATTGCAACAGTTGAAATATATTAAGATAAATAGTTGGGAATTTAATAACGATCCAGACTATACATATATGGATAATCAAATCTGGTCTTTGATTTCTATGAACTGTCAGAATCAACTTCGCTACTTGAATGTGCCACTTCGCAAAATTTATCAGGATCAGAATCAATCATTTTCACTTTATTTTTCATCGCTGAAATATGCTTCGTTTAAGAATTTGTCAGTCAATCAAATGTTAGTTTTCTTGCGACATGCGCCCAATCTTTGCTATTTTAAATCGTGTCTAACCCTCTTGAATAATGATCGTTGCATGTCGTCCGGTTTCATTCATACTAATCTCAAGAATCGAAACTTGAATATCAATGGTTGGCATTCATTCGAACAACTCTATCAGTTTTTTTCAATTTGTCCTAACTTGACGCAATTGGTTCTGGAATTTTGGATTACGACACAAAATAAAACAATGACCAATCCAACAGGATGGCAACTGCTAATTGAAGATTACTTATCCTATCTTAAATATCTACAACTTAAGTTTTACAAATACACGCCGCATCCCAATTACTCATATCTTGAAGAGTCTGATATTCAAGAATTCTTCGAGAATTCCAAGTTTTGGCTTCAACGAGAGTTGGACTTTGAAGTAAAGGTACGAATGAGTATAACTATACATGTCATAGTAGAATATATCTGGTCGCTTTTCCACTAACATCAGGATTTGATCGGATATTTACTTATGGTTTTCACTGATTAAGAAAAAATAGAGTACTCGAAATTGAAAAGTTATACATGGTTTTTCATGATTAGTATAAACGATCGACATTTTATCAGTAAGGTTTTTTTCCGAATTTCTGTCTAATGAACTTTTTTTGGTTGAATTTTAAATCTAAAGTGAAGTATTGGATAGATGAAACAGTCTTCTTTCGACCTGGAAAACATTGAATTTGCTGGCTTATTTTATTAAGTACTGATGTGTATATTGTGATGAGTTGTGATTTTGTTCATGCAATTTCCAAAGAATATCAAGTAGGACATGTCATAGACATAGATAATCCGATATGCTGAGTGGAGTGTTAATGTTACTTTTAAGTGTCATAATCGTATGAGATCACTTTATCAAAATATTTCAAATTTTTCTCCATATACCTCATAAGAGGAACGAGAATATCTTTTTGTCATAGTTGTGAAATGTTAATTTGAGACGATTGTGACACTCGAAAAAGCAATACTACTATTCTACGCTCAGCATAGCTGATTAACTATGATGCATCTTGTTTCACATTTTTTTGGGAATCGAATCAATAGAATTATGACTCACAACGAAATGCGCATACTTACTTAAGAAAATAAGAACCAAAAAATGCTTCCTGGGTAGAAATTTAAAAAAAAATTACTAATAAAATACCTATCAGTTATATCAGACACAGGAAGTTACGTGCATCTTTTCAGTTTCAACTATTTTGTTTTTATTAATAAAATCTAGTAGCCAATATCTGATTCTATTCTGATGTTAGTCGAAAAGTAACTAGGCGTACTGTATGATTTCATTGATAATAGACTGGTTAGTACGGTTTTTCGTATCCTTGCGATATCTATAGAAGAAAAGTAAAACAAGGCATACCATGAAAAATCTTTTCAAAAAAAAGAAAATAATAAAGTTCGAATTTCTTTTTTCAACTTTTTTGCTCTTTTTATTCTCTATACACTAAACTGGATTCATGACTACTAGTAATAGACGTTTCTTTCATTGACTAAGATGAATATTTTTTATCGTATCATTCACTATTCAGTCGATTTTCTCTCAATTCGCTGAAAGTATACTCTTAAGATTAAATTTCTGAGAGACTTAGACATCGACAATGGAGGAATATTTCAGAATTTCCTGAGTTTTTAAATATGTTATAGGAGTTGGTGAGGCCAGTATACTAATGCAATTTAAAAAAAATTTTTTAATCAATGTTTTGCGTGGTTTTCTTCACTAAATGTGATTTTAATATTTTAATTTTTGAGAGCTTTGACATTTCATTTTAATTACAATAACTATCGAAATATTGCTCTTGTACATACAAAAATTCATAAGTTTTCGTCAATCTTTTGAGTACTTCTGAGCTACTATTAAAAACGTCTGTCTTGTTATTTTTTCTATGTTCCATCACCAAAATGTCACTCGATAGCATTTCATGGTCCAACAATCAATCGCTATGATATTTCTCTTGGTCATAGAATGCATCAAATCCTACAACCTAAGATATCTCACAAATTTTTCATTGAGAAAAATGAATCACTTTTAATTAAGAGTCATCTTTTTTCCTATTAATTCATAAGATATGTTTGACGATGCTGATCTATTTTCCATAGATCATGCTTTCTCAACTAGTTTATACAATCAAAATCCGGTAATATCCTCCATTTATGTTATTTTATATGAAAGCAACCCTTCTCTAAACCCATTATCTCTTT